GTTGCGCTTTGGTTGCGCTTTGGTTGCGCTTTGGTTGCGCTTTGGTTGCGCTTTGGTTGCGCTTTGGTTGCACTTTGGTTGCGCTTTGGTTGCGCTTTGGTTGCGCTTTGGTTGCGCTTTGGTTGCGCTTTGGTTGCGCTTTGGTTGCGCTTTGGTTGCGCTTTAGTTGCGCTTTGGTTGCGCTTTAGTTGCGCTTTGGTTGCGCTTTAGTTGCGCTTTGGTTGCGCTTTAGTTGCGCTTTGGTTGCGCTTTAGTTGCGCTTTTTTACTTGCGCTTTAGTTGCGCTTTGGTTGCGCTTTAGTTGCGCTTTGGTTGCGCTTTGGTTGCGCTTTGGTTGCGCTAATTTTAAATAATATTTTATTATTATCCGAACCTATCTCTGCGTTCCGTCACCTGACCCAATAATTTGCCGTGAGGGAGAGGCCGGGCGCTGGATCGCTCGCTCCAATGGCAGTGACAGCGATTGTTGCTTCGAGTTTTCCTTCGAGCCAACACCTAATTTCTTCCTCGTCTTCTTCGTGCCCGCATCGGGCTTCGAAAGCTCGGACGCCCTTACTCCAATCTTCGAGGGGAAGCATCGCCACTTGCTCATCTTCAAGCTTCGTCGGTGAGAAGCTTTTTCTCGGCGGAGGGATTAATCAGAGCATACGAGAATGTTCATTGTGGAGGAAACTCATATTTGTTCCACCGAAGGTTGTGTCGGAGTTGAGTGATTCTGAGGCATACCTTGATTCCCCCACTGGCGAAGTAAGTTGCTGTTTCCTTCGTTCTTCTGTGATTTTTATTTGAAATGCTGTAGTCTTCTTGATTAGCTCTAGTCGATTAATTCTTGATTTAATCAGAGTAAATGAGCTTCTTTACTACTATTGGTGAGCTCAGATAATTTTACCCCGCATGGATGTGTTGCGATGGTAAATTGGGAATTTGTTGTTAAACGCAAGATGCTGAATCTGGATTGTTCCTACTTTTGTTGGGTGGAATATATTCTGGTTAAGTTTTGTCAGTAATAGGATAGGGGATGTGTGTTGTTTTCTGTGTATTTGCGGATAATTTATGTGCAACTGAGCATGCATTTACCTCATGCATTTTGTGTTATGATATTATTTCTCCTGGAATAATTTTCCTTAGGACCTGGGCATGAGATTTTATAACCAAAACTCTACCATATGCACGGAGCAACCTTATTGACTTTCCTTTAGAGCTACTTTTTTAATCTATTTGGTGTCACTGAATTGTCAAGATTTGCTTTTTCATAGACCTTATCAAGTTTAGGCGGAAGAAATACTGTTTGATTTCTACAAGTTCACTTCTTATTTACCTTATACACAGAGGTGATGTTCATACAGAAAACAAGATAGGATATTTAATGCAGGACAATATGTGGAAAAGATAAATTTATGATCTTACACGCTTTTGAACATGAGCATTAATAGATTATAAGCTTTAGCCAACTAGAACGATAATTGAAAACGTAAGAATGGTGCCTAAGTTTAGGCCAAATTCTACAATAAGAGTTGAGACCACAAAATAAATAGAAATACAACAAAAGCAATTATAGTGGTTTATCAATAATCCTTCCAAGATTAACAATAAGACTAGAACATAGAGACCAACACTCTTTCCTAAGTTTACTAAGCTTTAGGCGGAGGCCATTAACATGATCATTATGAATCCAAATAAAACCACTAGCAAGGGTGAGACTTAAAAGATAAGAAATTCGGAAGATTAGTATACCGTTATCAAGAGGAAGAAGTGACCATCCACTAAACGAAAGAGACTTGAGATTCAATGGCGTTTAAAACAAGTTAGAAGATGATACAATCCAAGTAGTCTTCGACGGTACTATCGATCTTTGGGTTGATGTTGAAGAGGGTGGAATGGTTGATATCAACATGTCCTTGTTCGTTGTCGACGAAACCAGAATCACGATTGGGATCGGCCATGCATTTGCTTTGTTGTATGTGGTAGTATCGGCGATGTCCGTCAAGGCTCCTAGATTCCTTGTGAGAAATGAGATCCTCACAAGAAACAAGAGAGGAGGGGAGAAGGGTTCAGCCAAAAAGTGGAGCCACACATGGGGTTAGGGTTAGGTTGGAGGAGGTGATTAAATTCAAAATTTTGAAATAAATTTCAGATTTTGAAATTGAGAGGGAAGGGAAATAGAAGGGGAATTTAATGGGGCGATTAGGCTAGGGGGCTGGCGGCATGGTGAGAGAGGGAGAGGTTTAGGGAACTAATTAGTGGGTTGCCTAATCAATAGAGTCTTAAATTAGGCAAGGGATTAAATCAAATTCAAATAGAATTTGATTTAGAATTGTTTATGGAAACTTTCCAAAAATAGATTAGTTAAATTATGAAAGAATTTGAATTTCAAATTCAATTGATTTGAATTTCAAATTGTTCCTAAATCAACTCCAACTAAATTAGGAAACTCAAAGAAGATGGGAAAAGATGAGAAGGGCCGGCGGCTAAGGGGGCTAGGGTCGGCGGTTGGGTGGGCTTAGGGAGGAATAGTTGAAGGGGAAAGATGCTTGGGGAAGGGGTGGATGGCCGGTGGAGGAGGAGAGGTGGTGGTTGGCTTGGTGGAGGGATGGAGGCGGTAGTGGGAAAGTGAAACCGTGGGGAGGAGGGGTTGGAACCGGTGGTGGGGGCTTAGGGATGCTCTTGCAACTGACGGTTAGGGAAGAGGGAAAGAGGAAGGGAAGAAAGGAAGAAAAACCACGAACCCGGAATCCTCCAATGTTGGTGGGTGATACAATTCCCTCTCCTAGGGCTACTCTCCGAAGGCTCTCAAGCTCTCACAAAGACAAGTGCAGGAAAAATATGTAATTTCATTCATTAACCCCCAAAAGGGGAGATGAAAGGCTTTAAATAGCCCATACAAGAGATAAAATAAAAGTACTAACATGCCCCTTGGGCTAACACAGGATACAACCCTTAAGGGTAAAAGTGGAAAAGAAATACAATAACACTCATAAACTAAACAATACAAATAAATAAAATGCAACTCAAAAATAAAGTGGTACGATCGTGGCTGTAGATCAACGGCTACGCCTCTGATAGACCTTCCACGGTCTGATGTCCCCATCAATATTGATACAAATTGACAAAAGAGATGGAGTTGACTTATTTTTTCTCCACTCTTTGTCCTCCCATACTGATTGATTTATCATCATCTTCACACTTATGGATTTGTGATCCAAAACCTAAGTTTTGTACGGTTTATTCTACTTAAGCTTTGGATGTATGTATAATTGAACAGGAATAGATTTTTGGGTAGGATATTTTATGAATAGTGGTTTGGTCTGTTTTGGTGGAGCTTATGCTGATACTAGCGAAGCTTTGGATCTGTAGAATTGAGCGTAGCTAGATTCAATTAAGGGATATGAAGTGATACTAGTGTTTTTATTGGAAAACCAAACCTTGAAAAGGAACTGAATGAAGATTCTTGCTTATTGATTGAATTGAATCTTCCTTGGATTTCATCTTACATATTCTTCTTTGCTTTTGACCAATTGTTTGAGTTGGAATTAGGGAGAGTAAGTAAGAGAGGGGGTGCTAGTTAGAGAGAAAGTGATTGCATCGAATGTACACTTCGAAAGGGATCCCAATTTTAGGGCTGTTTAATACATCAACAATGTGAGAAAATCTTTACAGGATTGCAAGAGCAATTGACTGTATAGTAATTTTTCAAAGAATAGATTGGTAATGACATAACCCTATTAATTAAGTTCGTTTTATCTTTCCAAAGTTGCATAGAAAGGATCCCACAACATGGTCATGCATTTAGACCTGCACAACCATCTCTTTATAGAGAATAGAAAAATATTTATTTGACTTATGCCCAAGAGGTTGATTTTGATCAAATAGATGACATGTGAACTTGCATATTAATCATGCTAATGGTCTCTTTTTTATGTGTGAAAAGAGGGTTTCAAGTGTGTGGTGCTCATCATCATGCATATGTTGGAAAGCACCCTCATAGTGGGAATCTTAAGATGAAAGGTATATTGTAGTATATAATTATATTATTTATAGGAACACCAACCAACAAGATTGTGATTTGGATGTTGAGATAACACAGAAAATTATGTTGACGGTAAACTTGATCTAAGACTTACTTAAGATTGGTTGGTTGACATAGATTATACTTTTGATCAAAACCATTTTATCAGGATGTTGGAGTAGGTTTACTAAACATCAACTCCTTGAGAAAGTTAAACTTTATTAGGTCATGTACAAAAATTATTGTATATCTGGTTAAGAAATAATATTTACTTGAGGGGATATGAAAACGTCAATGGAAGAAAAATGTTTATTACATGAGTAAATTAAATGGACTCATGCTTCATTTTGAAACAGTTCAATAATATAAAGCAACATTGTCTTGATCTAGAACTATGTTGAAATCGAGGGTGTAATTGGTGATTTTGCTCATCTTGTATCATTTGTAGAGCTAAATGATTGAAGAAAAAAACATTTTAATGCAAATATTTAAGAGCAATGGACATTATCATGGTTATATTAATTGTAGAGGAATCACATTTGAAAAAATTATGTTAATTTTAGAGTATCAATTTGGTTTCAGGTTAGGAAAATAAGAAATAAGAATTTTAGTTTTTATATTTTAAACAAATAAAAATTTTAAATACAAGAAATTATATTTTTAAAAAATTCATAAAATATTTAAGACAAGCGTGACCAATTTGTATTTAATATTTTTTTAATTGGACACATTTTCGGCATGTCCGACACATGTCGGAGGTGTGTCGGATTTGTGTCGTGTTGAACACTATATGGCTCTTTGAGGAGAAGTGCCGATGCATCATAGCTAAGAATATGATTACCCCTAACTTTTGCCCTCCTTTATAAATTTATTTTGAATTAGGATATGCAACTATTCTTTTCTTTATTGTTGAGTTTTAAGTTTTGTCTTACAATTAAGCTTTAGGGCCTTCGAAATAGGCTTTAAGGGAACAAATTTAATTATAGTGCCCTCGTACTTGAAAATATACACATTTTCTCATTTGTAATGGATGATAGCTTAGCTATATAGCCAAGCACCTACCAAGGATGATTTATTCTACACTATTTGTAAAACATTGAAGCATGGTTTAAAATTGTGCAATATGAGGCTCGCCTTGAGGTCCGCCTTTGCGCAATTCCAGTAAAACGCCTCGATGCTTACGCGTCAAGTTTTTCTTATGAGTCTTGCGCCTCAACTTGGTTGAGGCTGCCTCGCCTCACGCTATATATATTAAAACTTACATAAATCTTGAAGTAAATGCCCGACATTGGACTCTATAGGAGAGGAGGAAGGGGAGAGAGCAGTTCATCATAATGATGATTCAAATGAAGAACCCCTTAGTGATGATAGTGCTGATGACTTATGAGTTCTTATGTGATAGGTCATTGCTATTTATTTTTGGAAATTGAAATTATATTTTAATGAAAAGAATACTGGGATTTGGGAAAGATAGAATTTTAAGTTGAACTATATTTCATGTTGTCTTATTATTGGGATATTTTGATTTCACTTCATATCTTATGCTTTTTTATGTTTTATATTATTCACTCATTAGTATATAAAAAATTTATCATTTTATGTTTACGCAATCTTTTGATTTTGAGGCTTACGCCTCAAAATGCCTTGAGGCTTACGCCTTGCCTCACGAATGAAAAACGCCTAAATACCCGAATACGCAATTTTAAACATTTCATTGCAGCATATCTCATCTTTATAGCCACGTAATTGGATGGGAAATAAGTATCTCTTGGTTACCAATAACAAGGTATTATCCACCCAAGCGACATTGTAAGGCTTAGGGTACGACTCAAAGCTAGGTTTGGCCTTTAATAAAGTAGCTTTAGAGCGGAGATTTACGATTCTACCACTATTAATTACAAGTTTATGTATTTTGTTTCGACAAGTAGCATGAATATGAAAAATATTTTTTCTTATATAATCTTCCTCCAACAACTTGAGAGTTGTGAATATGCATTGTATTACAACTTTATTTTCCTCGGCATGGCCAACGTCATTGTTTTTGGTGATGGCCTCGTTGTCTTCTATGTGCTCAATGCTTTCATCATCGAAAGATTAAAAATCGAGATCTTGGTTAATCAAAAATATATTTTGAATGGGTTGATGTGACATGATCTTTTTGGCTGCATAATAAAAAATTTCCTTATTCGTGTTGTCAGTGGAAGGATTCCCTTTCATTGAACTTATAACTTTTGCTGCACTTGAGTTTATAGTCTAGACAAACCTAACGATTAAATTGATTCTAATTATGTTTAAAGGAATTCACTTTGGCTGTTCTTTGATCATCTACTAGTGGAATATAAGTCCATTAAGCGTTTTTCTCTCAGTTTTCCTATGATTTTCTACTGTTTTCATACGTTTGGGGCTGATTTCCTGTAGAAAACAGCAACTTTCTTGTTGTTTTCTTCACGTGGAGCGATAGGAATACTTGGATCTAAGTATTTCCTATCATTCTTCCTCTTTACAAAGTTTAATGACTCATGCTTGGGTTACGTTAGGATAGTTGTCTTCATTATTGTTAGTATCATTGTGACAATTATGAGTGCTCCTAGTATTATTATCAAGATTTAATGAACTCTAAGACCACCTTTTATCATTCTTTGAAATGGTGTTTGCAAAGAAAATCAACCTCAACCCACACTTGGTGGTACTGATGGCTCCTTAAATGTTATAGGGTTTATTATAGCGATACATTAAGTTGATTGGGCAACTCATACTTGACCCAAATTTTGAGGGTTGCCAATTGGATGTAGGAGGATACCCCTTGAGGTACCTTCATTGGGTTCCTTTGAATTTTAGGTTAGTTTTGTAGTGATTCGATTTGACAAGGAAAATCATCAAATCAACCCATAATTTTATTAAAGATGTTCTCATGATTTTTACATACGTCAAAGGTCATTCTATAATTTTTTAGGTTTGTTACCCTTTGGTCCAATTGCTCTATGGATGATACCAGATTGTCAAGTTCTCGCCCTTATGTATAGCAAGTTTCATTATGACAAAAAGGAAGATATGCTATGAATCTAGTGTAAACACAAATTGGATTAATGTAACCAATCAAGAACCTATGCGGTGATGATGAAAATACATATTGATTTGATTTGAAAGACATGATTATGCTGAAAAACAAGGTTTAGTTCATAAAACATGTTGAGATATGTTGAAGATTGATTCCTATTAGTTGTATAGTGATAGGTAGTATATGTAGGTGGTTTCTAATTCTAAACACACACATGGTTGACATAACTCTTCCTTTCATAAACCAAAATTGCAAGTAGGGCAACAGTAGGTTAGTTAGTATTGCTTTTAGTGGAGTTTTATGGGCAAGGATCATACATTGGTTAATTGATTTGGAAGCAAACAACAACAACAATAACATCAAACATTTATCCCACTACGTGGGGTCAGCTACATAAATCATTTTTCTTCATTATATCCTGTTAAGAGTTAATTTCTCATTTAAATGTAATTAAAGAAAGATCATTTCTAATATTTTCTTACCAAGTCTTTTTAGGTCTACCTCTACCTTTGCTAACATAGGTCAAATCTAATACATCTACTCTCCTAACAGGGTCATTAGAAGGCCACCATTTTACATGATCAAATCATCTAAGGCGACTCTCTCTAATCTTATCTGTCACTGGAGCTACTCCAACCTTTTATCGAATATGTTCGTTTTGTATCCTGTCTCTAAGAGTAAATCCACTCATCCACTTGAGCATCCTCATCGTTGCAACACTTAACTTAATATTATGCTTCTCTTTTAATGGCCAACATTCTATGCCATAAAGCATTAGAAATTACCTTCTAATGACCAACTAACAATTGAGGAGTTTATGCCTATAAAGGAATGATTGAGTTTCATAAATCTGTAGGTTCTTGACTAATGACGATCATTGATCCTTGAAAAATCTATGGAAATGCCGATAGCTGGTTGGACGTCAATGTGGGTTGTTGTCTGTGGTGTACAAAGGAATGACTTGGTTTTACCATGGCAAGGTTGAAGGTTGGAAACTAGGGTAGGCAGGTGAAATAGGAGAGGTATGTGTGGATTTACCAATGGAGCACAATTTGGCATAAAGTTTAGTGCATGAGAATGAGAGGCGCTGATGTGAAACTATCAAAATAGACAATAATAAAATACATCATGTCATCTCAATCAAAAGTAGAGGCGCTGAATCGTGGCCGTCGATCTGCGGTTTCGCCGGCGATAAACATGTCGGTAGCGTCTGTCGATGTCCTCATCAGGCGCAATTGGCTGGAATAAAGGTTGAATGTGAGAGGGGATTATTGGGATCACACACAAGTGTTGGAGTGATGGTGACAGTGCAATAAAAAACAACAGATGGATGAATGCGTGGAGGGAGGATTATACTAGAACATAGGAGATGACGGCATGGTGCAAAGTTGGTGAGAGCGAGGATCGGACACGCGGCTTCAATCAACATCAAACAAGAACACATCCAAGACAAGGCTTGCATGATGCATGAATTGATGCGACAAGAGGCATAATGAAGGGAGCATGACTTGAAATTTTTTAATTATGGATAATGATGAGCACAGAATGCATGAGGGACTCAACTAGACTAAATTAGCAATGGAGATGAAGACTTAGATACACTTTGAACCTAGCTCTGATGCCACTTAATTATGCGTGCGTGTCTGTGAGAGAGAGAGAGCAATAGCCAGAATTAGAGAGAGAATGAGAATCTCAAATTCTATTCATTCTTCAACTGATCATCTCAAGTCAGCCCTAGAAGTCATTTATAATGAAAAGTCCACGGGCTTACATGTAAAGAAAGTAGCATCATAGTTACTAGAAAATATATCCTCATAAAAATAACATGGTAGGAAACAAAACTACTTAAACCAAATTCAAATATTCCCTAAATTTTAAATGCTCAATAAAGAAATGGAACATTTAATTAATCTCACCATCAACATCTCATAAGTTTTCATTTGACTGTTGCATCAGTAACTACTGGAGCTTTGGGGACATCTCTTATATAGTTAGAAGTTGCAAGGGAAGGTTGTTTTCGTGATATTGCATGATTGGTTGTACTTTTCTTTGTCCAATTTTCTTACGTTGTCCAATGGTCGATTAACCTTGTAATTCAGCTTTAAAAGTACTTACTGGCTGGTGCTAATATTGATGTAGCTAACTTCAAATGAATCAGTTATTGTATTCATGCTCTAACTTTCAAATTTCATTAAAAGTTTTGATCTCAACTTGGATATTTGCCTCTACATTGTTCGGACCAACAAAATTTCAGGTGTTTGGGTATGCTTCTGCAGAGCCTAGAAATACTTCTGCAGCCAGGAAGTATGATAGACATCCTCAAAATGTGGATCTTCCGCCAGTTCTGCCTAAAAAGAAAAAGAAGCCATATCCTATTCCAATTCACAAGGTGCTACGATCAGCAAGGAATGATAAAAAATTAGCACATATGGGAGTTGAGAAGCACCTCGAGCCCCCAAAGAATGGATTACTGGTTCCTGAACTAATTCCAGTAGCTTATCAAACTTTGGAGTCATGGAAAGTTTTGATCGAAGGACTTGCTCAGCTTTTGACAGTGGTTCCAGTTTATGGATGTAGGTGAGCAAAGCATGATATATGATTGTTTTATATGGATGTAGCCGAGCATTGCTATTCTAGTTATTATGTCCATGTGATTTCCATGCCAGTCTAACTTTGCTTGATGCACAACAGAGAATGCCCAGAAGTCTATGTAGGCTCAACTGGCCACTTGATACAAGACTGCAGTGGCCCTCAAAATGTTAAACGAAGGAGTCGTCATGTGTGGGTCCGAGGAACCATCAATGATGTCCTCATCCCTACTGAAGCCTATCACTTATTTGACCCTTTTGGGCATCGCATTAAGCATGAAACTCGCTTCAATTATGAAAGAATACCTGCAGTTGTAGAGCTCTGCATTCAAGCTGGTGTTGAGTTATCTCAATACCCTTCCAGAAGACGTTCCATTCCAGTTAGAATGCTCGGCAAAAAAGTGATAGACCGCGGTGGATTTGCGGAGGAGCCAAAGCCATGCAGATCTCAAGATGCAATGGCTCTACTTTCTGAGATTGATACCTATGCAGTCCTTAATGGCCAGTTCATGTCACCCCCAGCTGACACCAGAAAAGCTGCAGAAAGGACTTTGAAGGCATATAGCACAGTGAGGAGTGGTGTGAGGCAGCTTATGAAGAAATACACAGTGAAAGCATGTGGGTATTGCTCTGAGGTCCATGTTGGTCCATGGGGCCACAATGCAAAGCTTTGTGGGGCTTTTAAACACCAGTGGAGGGATGGAAAGCATGGGTGGCAGGATGCAACAATTGATGAAGTGATCCCTCCGAACTTTGTGTGGCATTTGAAGGAGCCCAAGGGGCCGCCGCCCACCGGTGCTCTCAAGAGGTTCTATGGGAAGGCTCCTGCTGTGGTGGAGGTTTGCGTGCAGGCTGGTGCAGAGATTCCTGATGCTTATCGGCCCATGATGAGACTGGACATAGTAGTTCCAGAGGCTGAAGAAGCAAGGTTAGTGGCATGAGGTTAAATAATGCATGGAAATGGGTAATTTCAGCAGGAGAAGTAAGGTCCTCCTCCCTTTCATGCGGTATGTACCATTCATACAGATATTTTATTGCTTCAATTGTAGATTGGACAACTGATCTTTAAACTGGTTATAGCGTCGTTGTTAAATATTGTATATTTCAATAAATGCTCTCAGAGGCTTTGTTGGATTATGGTTCATCTCCATTTTTGTTTGGTGAATATTATACTTTTGGAATTCCCAACTTCTGTCCTTCTGAGGATTTTTTTTTTTTTTTTTGGAGTGATGTTATTTTAAAATTCAATAAAAGTGTTCTTTAATTAGAGAACATGATTTGGTTTGTTTGAAGGAACAATGTGAACATGATTGGTTTGTTTGAAGGAACAATGTGAACATGTTGGTTTGTTGTTTGTATGGTGGGATTGGCCAATTTGATCTCTAGACTCAAAGAGTCCTGCAAAGAACTCTTGAACGTATGGGGCTGAAGCAACTCTGTAAGGCTATGATGCACAGACACGGACACGGCGACACGGATACGACACGACATGGACACGGGACACGTTTGTTATTGAAAATATAGGACACGAACACGGGTTGGACACGGTATTATAGTTTTTATATTTAAAAAAAGTGTATAAAAATTAAATAAATATAATTTTAAAATAATAAGTCATTTAACTAGAATTTGTGCTTAAAATGATTATTATTAGGATGTCGAGAGTCAAACGTCGATGCAGTTTATCAGCCACTGAGAGAGGAGATGAAAATACCTTCACTGCCAAAAAGAAATGAAAATGAGAATATTCGATAATTGGGTATTAAGTGTGGACGTTGATTTGGTATTCTGGATATGAAATAAGAAATTTAGTTTAAGTCCCGCCAAATACAAGAAATTCTATTTAAAAAAAATCATAAAATATTTAAGATACGTGTGTCCGACACGTGTGTACAATTTTTATTTAATATTTTTTAATCGGACACGTTTTCGACGTGTCGGACACGTGCCGGAGGAGTGTCGTGTCGGACACGGTGTCGAACACTGCACGCCTCTTTGAGGAGAAGTGTCGGTGCATCATAGCTGTAAGGCCACCATCCATGCTCAATTTTTTTTTTTTTTTTTTTTTTTTTTTTTTTTTTTTTTTTTACCATCCATGCTCAAATGATACTAAAGAATGGCGTGAAAATTTGTGACAAGCACCAATGAAAAATCAAGAAATTGACTCATAAGCATTTGAAAAAAATTATGTGAGATGTATCCACATTGATTATAAGTCCTACCCAAACAAAATATTTTTTATGTTATCAAGATGAATAAGATAAGATGCCATTTAATCACACATGGAGATTATATAGAAAGTCACTAACTTCTTTCTCGACTATGGTAAATGCAAAGAAAACAACCTAGCATGCTCATGCATAGTCGACTCTAATCAACTATCATGATTTGAGCAATTAAATAAACTATCGATATAGCAAACAAATATTTAAACCAAAGCCTTCGAGCCGTTGATTTTAATTCTGCATGGCAAGAAATTTAAATGAAGACATTGTGTTGTCGATCTTAGATCTGATCGGGATGATTTTAAACTCAAAATCTCGCATTGTTGATCTTAGATCTAACTAAGATGGTGTCAAACTTAAGACCTCGCATCATCGACCTTTGGTTCGGCCGATAAAAAATCAATGATAAGTGCCTGTCTTGACCTCCCCCTCGGGGGTCAAAATCACTCCACAAAACTATTGGAGAACAATTTAAACTTTAATTGATTCAATTAATTAATACGAGAATTATTTAATTTGAATTAATTGATTAATTCAGTTAAATAATTAATTAAAGTTATTAATTAATCAAAATTAATTAATTAAAAATAATTAGTTAATTGAAATTAAATAATCAATTGAAATTAATTAATTGTACATAATTGATAAATTAAAATTAATTAATTAATTGAAAAATTCAGAACAGTCAATTAATTGAAATCTGAGAGCAATCACTTTAAAATCAAATTAATTAGTTGGTTAACTTATTTAATTATCTAATTAGAATTTTAAACATAAATCAAAATCTAATTAATTGCTTAAATTTAAAATCAAAATTAATTTAAAACTATTTAAATTTTTTAATTGATTAAACATAATTAATCTATTTTAAAATACTATTTTACATTCTTTTTACACGCATCCAAATAACTTCAAATATTTTAAATACACTAAATTCTATTTACAATGCATTTCTTTTTATTCTATATTTCTTTTTTAACAAATCCAACAACCCCTGAATATGAAATATTGAGTAGTTGAGACCATTTGATAAATTTATCTTGGAACATTAGAAGAATATTGCTCTGAGCATCTATCAAGCCTGTGAGGTGAACGATTTTTCTTTAATGAGATGATTCCTTCGGTTGTAAGGTCTAAAAAAAATTAATAAGTTATGACCTTGAAGATCACAAAGTACTTCGATGTAAGTTTCGATTGGGACGGCTTTCTTCCTACTTCTTGAAGCATCTTTTTAGTATAAATATTTTAATTTTTGTACTAAAAATTATTTTAAGAAGCAGTAAGAAAGTGTTCCCAAACAAAGCTGTAGCATTGGAAAAGAAGAACTTTGAAAGAGCTGGTACTGAACATTACTAATTGTGAGAAAAACCTTATTTTATCAAATGTATAATAGTATATAGAGTTATAGACAGCTAGTGATTTTTCCCACCTCATTCAGGCTTCTTTTGGGACGGCTTTCTTGATGCTTCTTAAAGCTGCTTTCTAATACAAAATTTTAAATTTTTTAACTATAAAGCTGCTCTAAAAAGCAGCGAGAAAATCGTCCCAAATGAAGCCTGAATCTCGTTGGCGTAGGAAGCTCTATGTTTAAGTGTGGGAATGATTGATTGCATAAAATGTGGAAGAGTAGATCCTGTGTTAAAATATTTTATAAGACCCAAAAAAAAAACTTGATCCAATTAGCTATAGCTTCCCCATATCACAATTCTCTCTCTATTCCACATGAATTTTCTCATAGCCTGTGTTATTAAAATCATGCATATGTAAGGTACGCATGAATGATTTTTCGCCTTATTAGATACTTGTAATTATCCATTCATTTTTAAGAAGAAGCAACAGCGACAACAATATCGTCTTCATCTTAATACGTGGAGTGAGCTACATGAATCATTTTTCTCCATTGTGCCATGATAAAAGTCAGATTCTCATTTACATCTAATTAAAAAAAATATCATTTCTAAAACTTTCTAACTAGTTCTTTTTAGGCCTATATCTACCTTTCTTAACATAAGTCAAATCTAACACATCAGCTTTCTTAATTGGGTCATCGAAAGGTCAATATTTTACATGACCGAACCATCAAAAGGCAACTCTCATTTTAAGAAGCATAAAACTACATTTATTTGAAATTACCCTTATCTATTATGGTATGCCAAAGTGATAAATGCAACGTGAACAAATAAGTTAGGGGGCTATTAGATTATCTATAAAGGGAATGTAAACTATTCTAAATAAGGACATTTTGAAAATATTAGAGTTTGATTTTTTTTTCTTTTTTTTTTTTACTAGTAAAAACTTAAAATTTATATTAGAGTTTGATTTGAAATAAAATAAATATAGTTTGAAATTTTGATACATTTGAAAAACATCTCGTTCATTTTTCATGTATTTAAAATTCCTTCGATTTGGACGAGTTACAAATACCCCAAAAATTCATTGCAATTGTCATTGATCGCTAGCCCCTGTCAACCGCCGTCGACCACCATCACAGTAGCCCGCCACTGTTGGTTTCCACCAGTAGGCCACCAACCACTATCTTTTTGCATTTTATATTGTGTTCATTTTACTTCAACCCAAACCTCATTTTACAATTATCCAAACAACTACAAAATATTCATCTTATAATGCATTTTTTTTTTTACACTACATTCCTTTTTTAAGCAACCAAACAACCTCTTAGTAATTATAATTTATAATATGACTGACGCACACTTTAGCTAAAGTCACACTCAAATAATATACAATTCATATTTTTGTAATTAAAAAAATCTTTTATTTTGAGTTTATTTTATGAATGTTGTTTTATTTCTTTCATAAAATTTATATGAAACAACTTTTGGTGATTTTTCTTCTAAACTTTGTTATAGATTTAGAAGATGGCAAGCTGCAGAAAAATAAGTAGATGGTGAATTTTCTAAACTTGCCTGTGGAATAACTATCCATCCTATTGAAACGCTACTGCTACTCTGCAAAGAGATATACAGACTAATAAGGGTCGGTACTCCAAAATATTTTCAATACAAGATTATTGGTAGAATTCCCAAATATATTGTAACCAGACAATGTAAACTAACCAGTCTACCTTTCAACCAAATATTTACTGAATTATGTAACACTCATCAGCACATAAAAAAAACAAGAAAACTGAAAAAGCAATCTTCAGCTTAGGCTTCATTTGGGGCAGCTTTTTTACTACTTTTTAAAGCAACTTTTTAGTACAAAAATTAAAAAATTTACACTAAAAAGCTGATTTAAGAAGCATTAAAAAAGTCGTCCCAAACAAAGCCTTAATCAAAGGTCTGGGATTACCTGGTATAGAGATTTCAGATGCAGCAAATTCATTGGAAAACAGAATGATCCATTTGAGTTAGATGGGGAATCAAAATCTACTCATTCACCAGAGCGATCCACTCTAGTTCCAGCTCAATCTCCCCAGATTCCACATGCTGGAGCTTGAGAGACATCTCCTGCTTCACTTTTCCATCGACAATCCTGACACTACTGTCCTGCATTAGGGCATTGTCGTGTGATTTCAGCCACCTACCGATTTGCATGTCAGAGAGCGAGTCAGGGTCTCCAAATGCCATTGCTGAAGTGATCATTGGTTGCAAGTCGATCTCAGCCTCTCCCATTATATCATCAGCAGAGAGTAAGTCATGATCAAATACTTGCTGGTAGGGCAGACAACAAAAGGTCAGTTAATGCAGTTCTTACAGTAAAGCAGACAGATTGGTCAGTTTAAGAAAATAAAGCAGTTGTGATTTCAATTTAAGCAGGTTAATGCAGCCCATTATAGGCTTTGTTTGGGACGGCTTTCTTACTGCTTCGTAAAGTAGCTTTTAATACAATAAATAAATTTTTTATACCAAAAACTTGCTTTAAGAAGCAGTAAGAAAGTCGTCCCAAACAAAGTCATAGTCCGTTGGTTAGAAGTTCAGGCTTCCAACAAAAAGGATTTATGTTTGAAGTTTTGTATAAACGATTTATGTGAGTTTACAATTAAATTTGTTTGAAAGTTCTAAAAATTCTGAAAACAAAAAATAGAACGATCATTGTTAGATTAAGTGAAAAGGTTTGTCAGTGGAAGGCATGAAGGAGAACTAAAGACTCTTCCTCTCGACAGACACATGCACATGCACCATTGTAGAAGAGACAGAGGGGCCCGTTCCTAGCTTTTGAAAGCAAAATTTATATAAGAAAAAAGAGACGAAGGTTTCGTTTGGGATGGCTTTTTTATTGCTTCTTAAAATAGAGTTTTAGTAAAAAAATCCATCTCAAACGAAGCCGAAGTCTACATAGTTTACTGAAAGGAAGAGCATTTACTTCATATTACTATGAATGCAAAGCATTTTCTTTTTCTGATAAGTCTACGACATGTTTCTAAAGTAGGATTGATATATTTGCTTCATAGTGTCCTTATTCCTAACAGTGTTGACAGCATGAAGAAGGTGAACCAAGTACCCAACTTGAACCAATGATATATTTGATTCAGGTCAATGTACATACAACAAAGAACTAATTCAGGACTTCAGGTCTAATTCCAGAAAATGGGAATCAGCTAAGTTTGGCCTTATTCTCACTTACAGCAGAAACGAAGCCAACTCAACCAAAGTTGCACCTAAAACTTCTAATGCATTACCAATATTAGTAAGTAATGCTTGATAGAAAACAAGGCATTTCCAAAGTGATGGGAAGGTGAATGCTCTGGGACCTATCTACAGCTATTGTTTCCATGGCAAATTTAAGTAACAGTAGTTAAATAAATCAGGTAGGAAGAGCATTGATTATTCTATAATGCCCAATCATGTCACCTAAGCATGCCTTTTTTCTTTCACCAAACTTTTAACTAGAGTGCAACCGATTCCCTATAGCTTTCTACTAGCTTTAGATGCTACTTGGAAGTATATTTAATATGGAAATTTAAAAGAGTGAGAAAGGTTGCAGACATTTAGGAGGAAGCAGTTCCCTGACACTCACCAGCTTCAGGGGGCCATAATGTTGAGGAACTGAAAGTTTAAGCTCCTCGTTCCAAACTGGGTTCAGATTGCTCTTAATAACAGAGGTTTTGGCTTTCTGCAACGACCAATTCTCAATGAGATAACATAATTGACAAAAACAGGGGGGACTATTTATTTCCACAGAAATTTAATTTGCGATAAGAAAAAAAAACCAGAAAACAGACCTGCTTCCCAAGGGTCAAAACAACATACGGATCACTACTTAACATATCCCTAACAGCCAAACTTCTGCCTCGTATCACTTTGACCTTCAGAATTCCTATGAATTCTACCATACCTGCCTGTGATCACTCAAAAGCACAAAACAATTTTAAGACGATCTTAACTTTTTGGAAAAATAACAGAAGAATAGCATTTTAGATTAAAGTAATAACAGAAAATTCCATCAAATTCACTATTGTGCATGAATACTAATGTTAAGACTTACCGAGCTGTTGGAATCCAAACCACTATAGCTTTCCTTTACGGAGTCGGATGACCGGAAAGAGTTCTTCGAAGAGGAAGAGCTCTTTGAAGAAACAATACGCAGGCTTGGTTTCAAGAAATCTTGAAACTCGTACTTGGACCTATGGGAGTACTTCAGGTGTTTCGTTAAAGGAATCGCCTACCATAGAAGAAAAAAAAAACACAATAATAGTCCTATGAATAAGTATTTCACCTGATGAACTTAGCTCTCTCCTCATGGCTTGAATTTGCTGTAGGTTTTGTAAAATCCAGAGGAAGGAAAGCTTCATATATTGAATTCGCATAAGAGTTCCCGCCAACTTCTATCATAGATACAATTTCCTCATCTGACCATTCATCCAGTGTCACCGATAAAACCTGATGTTATGATAAGTTGTAAAAAAAAATGAAGGGTAAATAATTCACAATATAGGTGAATAAGATGCATGCACTCGTCTTTCAACAACAATAATAACAACAAGCCTTTATCACACTATGTGGGTTCGGCAATATAAATCATTTTTTTCCATTGCGTCGTATTAAAAGTTAAATTCTAATTTAAATCTCATAAAAATATCATTTTTAATACTTTCTAACCAAGCCTTTTTCGGTCTATCTCTATCTTTCTTAACATAGGCCCGATCTAATACATCTATTCTCTTAACAAGATCATCGAAAGACCAACATTTTATGCAACAAACCAATCTAAGGCAATTCTCTCAAATTAAATCTATCACTGGAGCTACTCCAACTTTTTCACGTATATAACCGTTTTGCGCACTATATTTAAGTGTAAAGCTACTCATCCAACTGAGCATATTCATCTATGAAACACTTAATTTTATGCTTATCTTTTAATGGCCAAAAAAAGTCTTTTTTAAGCGAACCAAAAAAATCAGGTTGTCTGCTAGGATGAGGAAGATTGAAAATTATAGGGCCTACAGAAGTCAAATAAGATATTGATGCAAATTTCTTTCGTACTACGGAATATGTCCCGTAAGAGACTATAAGAGCTTTCAAACATCAAATAAAACTATGATAATCTCTTCGCTAGCCCGCTCTGAGTTCAATTTTGTTTCAACAGTAAGCGCTGCATGATAGGCAGAGAGTTCTACTGCTTTGAAATTGGAAGGCAAGGCGACAGCCATGATAAAGTGGAGTTCAGAACGAGGACCACAGAGATATAACAATGACATTGATATGAAGAGGTACGACATACATAAATTTGAAATTAATGAAATGAAAACTTCATCAATCGAGAGAAAATGATGGTTAATATTACCTTTGAGATGTGGGTGCCAAGACTTCTATGTACACCACAACATTTTACACATATAAATACGCCGATATTAACTGACCTGTCAGGGCAAAGCAGGGAAACACATTAAACCACGATTTTATAGTAGAATAATAAAGTTGAACACAAGAGAATTAAAGCATTGGCAACAAGATGAAAAGTTTAAACAAAAACTGATAAAATAAAATAAATTTCCATTAATAAACATACAAATTATAAATCTCATCATAAAACATGACAGATCTATACAAATTAAATATGGAGGTTCTTTAGTTGAAGGTATTTATGATGTTGGCTTTTATTTCAAATACAGTGTAAGTTAAATATATTACATTTTGATCTGTTAAGATTATTTGATTGACTATTAAATAAAGCCATTGAAATTCACTTTTAATGTTTGTTTAGATGAAAATGAAATTCATTTCTAGGGCACGGTCATACAGATGGTAGGGATGATGCCGATAGTGAAGAAGCGAGCGTGTAATGCTAGGGTCTCATTAGTGATTGTTTGTGTGGGGTCACTGATCAATGGGACGTAGGTGTGCATCATGTGCGGCGGTAGGTCAAAAACATGGGTTATAGCGAGGTCACATGCGGCAATAGGTCATACCATCATAGTTCGAGGAGGGGCATTCTAAATTTCTCCAAATATTACTTTTCTTTTTTTCTAAATAAACACCTAAAATTTTAAAACCCGTAGGTTTGTTTTATTCTACACTCATAATACATTCAAACAAATAGCCCATTAATAAACACCCAAATAGTAGTTAATAAAACTTATGTTACATTTATAATTAATTCAGCAGCTTGCTGTGTTTATGTTTACAGACTTTGATCTCACAAAATATTTATAATCTAGAGAAAGCTGATTACATTGATTTGATGATGCATGCGAATGGCCTGTCAATAAAGCAAAATAAATTAACTTTTTTTTTCTTCGAGGATTATACAGATAGTTTAGGATTAAAAAAAACACTTTTTGTTTCTCCAAATCAACAGAGGTATATCTCCTGAATATATAGCTCGAGCATCCAAGAATTATGAAATGACAATCAATTGCCCTACTAGGACTAAACAGTGCTTCATATATTGTCTATTGAGGGTTGAGCAATCACTGTTATCTAATTAAGAAAATAAAGGCTGAGCTTTCAATGATTTCATAAAGTAGGATAAATATGTTGCGTGACTGTGGGCATCTAGAATCCACCTTAACGGTCTCATGGACTTGGTAATTTTCTTTCTTTATCTTTCAATCAAATCTTCTTATGAATAAACCTGAAACTTCTTCCAGTAAACTTGGCTTCTGAATGATTTGCTCCATAAATCTTCTTTAGCTCCCATAACACTTTCCTCCAGTATTGTCAATCCATTACTTAATAAAAGCATGGTCCGTATACAGCATTTTTTCTTAAATGCCTAACTTGACTATAAAGAACTAATGAGGATCCACAAACAACCAAAACTGATGATATACCCTATTAAACTTAAAGGTTAAAATTCCTTCAAATTCCAGAACCTTAAAAATAACATTTAGAATAATTAGAAAGTGAAGTAGTGTTGCAGGACATGTTAGATCCTAAAATTTTTAATGGAAATAGAACAATACAATGGATGTAGATCATACAAAAAAAACTATGACTCACATATCAAAGATCATTAATGGTAATCATAAAAAACTTAGCTTTCTTTAAGCATAAATTGGCCAATACAGGAAGCTGAATTAAAATGGTAATACTAATCAATTAAAATTAAAAAAAAAATCAACTAAAATTTGAAACCACCAAAAATCAATGAGCCGATTGAGATTCACACCAATTGAAAGCTCAATTGTAATAGATTTGACAAAAATTGAAAATACTCACAAACACTAATAACATAATGTTTAAAAGAAAACAAAAAAATAATAATTCACCAAGTAGATGTAAAGCCAAGTGTTGACCTTGATGGCGACTTAGAGGTTTCGACCAAGCACGATGAAAACGGCGAGCAAAGGACACAATATCACGCAAAAGCTATCCAAAATGCATCAACCAAGAGTCAAAATCGCTAAAACAGCGTCCATTTGCAAAAAGGATAGCTTCGACGCATTCGGGACCAGCTAAAACAGTTAAAACCTACGCCCATATTGGTTAGGTCCTCACATGGCAAAATAAAAAAAAAATTGACAGAACAAGAACGAAATCAACGCACGCCAACAGCGAAAATAAGGCGAACAAATCAACACGCATTTAAATAAATACCTATTATTATTATTTTAAATATTTTATATTGAGAAAATAACCAAAATGGTACGTTGACTCTTTATAAAAGACCAAAATAGTTTTGAACAATACTAAAGAACTATTTTGATCTCTCAACTCTTTAAAGAGGAACCAAAATGATCTTTTACTATTTTCATCCTTCATAAAGAATCAAGGAACCATTTTAGACCTTTTCTCATTTTATATTTAATTTAAAGTTAATATATTAATATGCAAATTAACAAGAAAATCAAAATCAATCAAAAAAATTAAATCTTTGGAATCTTCTAGTATAAATGCTTTATCCTTTTTGCCAGCAAAAAAATAGCATTGTTCTTAAAAAAGACTTAAAATGAGAAAAACCAAACCAAAATAACCTAACAACATAACACACCTCATTACATCTCAACATTTCCCTCACTTCCCAGCTGACACTCTCACCTATCAAAGACTCATGCACGCCCAACCATACCCGACCTCCTTAGTACACCGCTACCTACACACACCAATTGCACCCAGTCAGTCGTTGCCTGCAATCCTGGGTGTCTACACCCCGTCGGCCGACTAGTGGCCTACTAACCTGCCATCATCTGCCCTAGCCAATCAACCCTCTCCTCTTTCTTCTTCTTCTTCTTCTTCTTCTTCTTTCTTTTTTCTTTCTCTTCTTTTTTTCATCATCCTTCTTTCTCTTTTTCATCTTCCTTCTCTCTTTTTCTTCTTCCTCCAACCTCTCTTCTCTCCTCTCTCTTTATCTCCCTAAACAGAGAGAAAAAGATCTTTCTCACACTCTCTTCCTCCCTCATCTACTCTACTTCTTCTCTCTACCAAAATCCCTTACCCTCTTTCTCTCTACAAAAAGAGACAGAAAATCCAAATCTCTCACTACTCTCCTCTCTTTCTCTCTCTAAACAGAGAAAAAAAACTTCTTTCTCACACTTCCTCTCTCTCTCTCTCTCCACATCTCCCTCTCTAACACTCTTTCTCACTCTCATCACTCTAAAAATAGAGAATATTTTTTTTCACTTAATCCGCACTTTCTCTCTCTAAACATAGAGAAATTTCATGTTCTCTCTCTATCCTCTTTCCTTTCTTTCCCTCCCCCAAAATCTTCTTCTTTCTTTATCTAAAAAATAAATAAATCAAGATAAAAAAAGAACCCATGCCTCACCTCGTTGTCTGGTCATCATTGTCATCATTATTATGTGCATGCAAAGGTATAATGCTCGCAACATAAAAAAAAAAATTAAAATCCTGAATGTGAAGAGTTTGGCACAATGAGCGAAACTCGTGCATTCTTTTCTTAGTCAGCAAGCAAAACTCATAAGCAACGTTTGTGATGCAATGGTCAAGCCCTGTGCATGCTTTTATTAACATAGTAGGATAAATTTAAGTACATGTGAGCATCTTTTTGACTTGGCGGGTAAATGTTGAGAGTTGCAAACAAGTATCTAAAGACTCATGCATATCTTTCTTGGCTGATGGGATAGAAGAGTCTGAACGTGGTATCTTATGACACCAATGATACACACATTTCTTGGTATATTGGAAGGCCTAGCACACCTAATGATGCCCCCTATGCACGGAAGACATCAAAATACTACCGAAATTCAAAATAATAGAGGACTTGCACATAAAAAATTAAAAATATATATATTTGAATATAAGTTAAAAAGAATATATATAATACTTTTAAACTAAATTTGACAAAATGAGAACAATGTTGGACTTACAAAGGACTTGTAATGAACTTGACAGCTCGCCGAATGTAAACAGATTTTCCTTTCACTCCTAGTACACTCATAAACACTCAAAGTTCAAGAGAATACAACCCTGAAATGAACTAGAGATAAAAATGAACTAGGAGGCTCCTCTATTTACAGCACAAAAATTACTTCCTTATGGGGTCCGCTTAACAAAAATTTAATTATATAAAGATGAGGAAAGAACAGGTCTAAAAAAATGTGCTAAGATTCTCATTCATGACATTCACATCCAGATCTGCAATGCATGCACAAATGAATAAAATGCAAGCAATAATGAACTTAAATGCGAATTCACAAGTACAATCTGAGACAGCACATTCACATGAATGACTACCACATCATACCTTTACATATCTCCAATAAATTGGTTCACATGAATGTCTCTAAATAAAATAACATGTCGCATGTCATATATCAACAAGTGCCCTAAATAACATAATCACTAATTACGAGAAAAAGAAAACTCGTATACATCCCATGAATAAACGACTTCGTGGATCCATCGGGTACGAGGTTTGTACGCTGTTCATTTTTGCTTCTTCTACCTTTTTGTTCCTTTGGGTATAGCATGATGGTCAACAGAATATTCTTCAAAAGAGACAAATCAATATACTATCGCACATTATAGATTTCACAACTACTTCAACAAAATGCACGGGACTCATTAAATCACCAAAAAAAATCTTGTTCATGCATCCCATAAATGTACAATGGAAATGTATTGAAGACATACAAATGCATTGTACAAACATATGAAAAAATGTTAAGTATATCGATTATTGTGCAAGAACACCCAAGATCATGCAAGTGCGCAAAATGTATCGTGTAAATGCAATGAGATATGTGTGCATGAATCACGCGAGTATATTATGAAATATACAAGTGCATTGCACAAAAGCACCGTAAAACGAGGCAATACACTATGTAAGTGCATTAAAAAGTGTGTGCAAAATACTTGGACATTAAAATTAAATTTCAACTCCAACAATTATGTTAAATGCTTAAATTTATTACATGAGAATACTGTACAGGCTAAAATAAAAATGAACTTAAAATTTTGAGTCTGACCCTCCTTGAAAGAACTAGAGTTGACAAGACTTGAACTTAATGAATAAATATATAATCATAAAACATATGAAGATTTTTTTTTTTTACATTCATATTAGACGTTTGTATAATAATACGAGAAATTGACATTTGAACACAATCTTCTGCTAGCAAGCAAACAGAGTTGACAAAACTCAAATACAAAATAAATTATTTAAAGCCTCTGATGATAGTCGTGTTGAAAATAAATCTCAACTAAAGGGGTTCCCTAATCGGTGGTTTGTTATCAAATGAAAACAAAAATAATGTTTATAATCGGGTGATTTTACAACAAAATGAAACCTAGTTGCAACTAGAGCTTATATGTTCCTCAATGACTAAAAACCCCTTGACTAATGAATCATAGGGTATAATTAATAGGGCATAAAGTCTTTTATTAGTTATGGTCAACTCGACCTTGTCCTCTAAAATAAACATCTACCCTAAGTCTACAAGATACCCTTGAATGAAGCAAAAAATGATTGCTATCGACCACCTCCTCTTACTAAGTAAACTGAGGATCGTGACAACCGGTATGATGAAATCATTGGAACTTAATTGGACTTTCTCATCATTCTCTTAAGTGCAAGGCTGTAAATTTCAAATCTTAAGCACCAAATCTACTGCTACAATATGATCGATACTTAGTATCTACTTAAAGACTAACTTTAATCAAAAGTCCTCTCTCATTAACGTAATGATAATTAACCATAAGAGCTTATACCTATAGAAAACTTGAAACCATATCGTGAAGTCCTTGCAAAATGAGCGTGAAATATCTGGATAGTGTCTTATCTTAAATCTAATCTACCTTCTGAAAAACTTGACCATGAACATTTTCAATAAAACTCACCTGAAATGCGAAGAGGCTGGGACACAAATTTTCGGAGCCTACACTAAGCCTCATATGAGTCACACTAGTGTAAAGATATAATTTCTTACTGAATTTACATATCACATCTGTGCTGTACTCGAAGGAATCCAACATCTACTCGATAAACAAGAATGAAAAAGGAATTTAAATTTTATTGAAGAAAATATTACCTTTTTTATCGGGATCAGGCTATCTATCTATAAGCATCTTGTTCCCAAGTCAGTTGCCTCTCATTGGCTTGATTAAAGTTCAACTTTGAATTGGAAATTTCGAAAACAAAATTCACAGTAGAAATCATGCAAAATATATTGTACTGATAAACCGAGATTCAAATATCAAACTCAAATCATCCATGCATTAGTCAAAACCCGCTGCATTTGAAGTCATAGCAAAGCATGTTAAGAAGCACAACAGAACACACGAAAACAATGCAAAACATAAGATGCAGAAAAAGTGCCAATAAAATAGGCATGTGAATCGCTATTCAAACATATAGGAGACGCACATGACTACAGCCACCGCAGCTACAGCTCTGCTCAAATAGGTAACAGTGAGTGTTGTCATAATTAGAGTAAAAATTTGGATATTCATGATGATCGATTCTATCCAAGAGGACAAAAAGTCTGTTGTTTGGAGTTTAAAACACGAGAAAAGTGAGATAATTACTATCAAGTCATTGCTCTCAAAAATTTTTAGTCAACATTCTTTATCATGCATTCAGAAAGATGAAAAGTTTACGTTTGCAATAGCACAAAGGAAGAATCAAATTAAAACCCCATGATTTAATGCTTTTATTCCAAAGCTATAGAGCACTTAATTCATAAAAGATTAAGGAAAATAATGTTTCCTTTGCATTAACACCAGAAAAAAAAAATTAATTCCTTACTAATTAATGCTTTTATCCCAAACTTTAAACACTTAAATTTAAATCTACATACTTTGTCTTAAATTTTTGAAAAATATTTAAATTAGCAACACAAGCCTGCAATTTTAACTAAAAAATCAATAAAGAAACCATACTGAAATCAAATTTATATTAAAGTTTTCGCTATTCCAGATAGCATGATAATCACCATAGATGAGTATATAATTAAAATATAACCAAAGGGTCAAAAAATGACTGAAAACTACCGATTAACCGGTAAAATAAGGTATGCATATCGCCATATCCTACAGCTAAACCACCCTGGGATATAAGTTCAGAAGAACAGAAATATTTTTTTAAAGATGCCACTTACGCCCACTTAGGATCTAGTGCACTGCAATCAGCACAAATCCGATTATCACTTCTATGCAATAACTCCTTCAGTTTCTTCAAGTTACCTGTTGGAGAAGACAAATCTAAGATTACATTCAAACTGTTATAATAGAATTTAAAATTTTCAGGACCAATAAATGTCCATGGAAAAAGTGTTCAAGCCTTCGATAAAAAGAAGAGAAAAAGTTTTGTAAGGGACTAAAATGGTCCCCAACTTTTTTGAGGGGCCAATTTGGTCCCTCAACTCTTTAAAATGAGATATTTTTAGTCCTAACATTCAATGTTGGAGTTAATGGTGTTAAATATAAAGGTATTTTGATTATTTTTAATTAAACATTTATTAAATGTAATTTGCAAGTAATTCTAATTTTTTCTAAAAAATATTATTAAATGTTTATTTAATAAAAAAAAATTAATAATAATTTTAGTTTTAATTTCAAAAATTTTAGTCATATTTCATAAAATATAATTGATAAAAATATGTGTAATTAAGTTGAAAATAAAATATCAATTTGCTTTTGATTTCCCTAAATCAATATATATCATATTCTATAAAATATGACTATTTTTTTTTAAATTAAAACTAAAATTATTATTATTATTAATAATTAAAGAAACATTTAATTATTTTTTTAATTATAATTATTTGAAAATTACATTTAATAAATATTCAATTAAAAATAACCAAAATACTCTTGCATTTAACACCATTCACTCCAAGAGTAAATGTTAGGATCAAAAAAAGATCGACGACCGAGATCACTTTGTTTTATTTTCATTTATTAAGTGTATTTTAATTTAGTTTCGCAATTTCCCTTTTTTACCCTCTTGTCTTATGTAAGCCCAAGGGGCAAATGTGACTTTTAATTTCTCTTGAGGCCTATATATAGAGGCTCATTCTCTTGTATTAGGATGATGATGATGAATGAAAATTTCTACTTTTGATCTCTTTGTGAGTTCATATTTTCTTGATCTCTTGGTGAGTTCAACTCTCCTAGATCTCTGTGTGAGTTCTATGGAAAGCCCAAGGTGAGGGCAAAAGCAATACCCGTCAATCTTTGGAAGAGTCCGAGGTTCGCGGTTCTTACGATCTCTTTGTGAGTTCGTTAGTTATCTTCTATTTTACTCGTATTTTTGTTATTCATCTCCTTCCTCCCCTCTTCATCCACCCAAGTATTCCCCCTAGCTCCACCTCCTCAACCCACGACCGACACTCCACCCGACCCCTCATACCGCCGGCCCAAGCTCTAGCCACCGGCCACCATCCACCTCCTTCTCCCCAACCGAGAACCCCTTAATTGCCTTTCCTAAATTGGAGGGATTAAGTTAACGAAGGATTTGAATTCAAAATTTCAAATTTGAATTCAAATTTATTTATTGCTTAATTCATTCTTAATAATTAGGCATTTAATGATGTCATTAATTCTGAAATAAAATCTAAGAATTTTGAATTCAAAATCCCGCCAGCCTCCCTTAATTCTTCCCTTGTAATCAATTAGTTTCCAATTAGGGAAGAGCTCTTCATTAATGCAAATTTGAATTCCAAAATTTGAATTCGAATTAGCATTATTCACACCATTAATCTCTCCCACCATTTAAGCCAATCATCATTAATTCTCAAATCTGAATTTAAATTCAGATTTAAAACATTAATTCCCTCAAATCACTCTCCAAATTAAATCACCTCCACCTTGGCTTCACTCACATTTATTACATTTTTCCCCTTTTTGCTCCAGCCGAAATTCCCTATCCCTTGCCTAAGTAATTTGATTTCCTAATTCAAGGCATTAAATCAGAAAATCAAAATCCCTCCCCACCGCCTCTCAATCCACCGCCAATCTCACCTTCTTTTCTCTTCTGACCCGTCCCCTTCTCCCTCCCAGGTTTTTCCTTCCTTTTTATTTCTCCACCTGAACTCTAATCAATATTCTTTCCTTCCCCCACCTTTATTTCCTAAGCAATAATCTGAGATTTATCTCAGGTTTTGGAAAGAGTGTTTGAGGTTGTTTCTCTTGGCCGAAAGCTTCCCAGATTCCTTTAAAGAGATTCTCAGCTTTTGTGGAAGGACTTGGAATTTTGGAGAAGAGATCCTCTCCCTTGCAAAGCCATCCATGTTGTTTCACATCAGTTATTTCAGTGTTAATTCCTGAATAAGAATTGGTTCAGAAGTTACAAATTATGTTATTTGAACAAGATTTTGTTTGGAATTTCCCCCTCTTCCTTAAACTCGTATAAATAGGAGATGGAAGAAAAGCTTGGGGATTATGTGTGCGTGCTTGAGGGCTATAGACAGCTGCTATTGAGAACCAAACAAACAGAAGAGTACCCGAGGGAATGAAGCTTCTTTGAGAAGCATCCAAATGGAATTCTTTTGATACAATTTGGATTTTATTTATCATTTGTCTTGTTTGGTTCATGTAATTTCTATAAGTTTCTATGATGTTTTTCTATTTATTTAGCTAAATAGATTTGGGACTTCTCTTTATGATGAGATTTGATGCCCCTTTTGATTGTACATCTATTGAATCAAATCATCTCTCCCCTCCTATGGATGTAGATTACTGTTTTAGCCAACCACATAAATACATGTATCTTTTTTGGTGCTTGCACTCTTTTTTATTAATTTGTGCATTTATCATATTTGTACCTAGCATGTGCATAAACCAGTAGATTTTCTAATAGAGGTCCCATTTACTTGTACAAATTTCAACTTACAATTAGGATTGCTCATAAGTTCTACGAAGAGGATAGATTCTGCAAAAAGCACAATATGTTGAAGGATAAAAATATTTTAAATAGAGAAAACTCAAAAAGTTTCACATATCTAGCCTGCAGGAAAAAAAGCAAGTTTAAGCATGATTATGGCCTCTAAAAAATTATGCCTCAACTCTGCAAGAGAGTTTAGGATGTTCTGGGTCAAAACTTCAAAAGGCAAATTAGATTTAAGATGAGATACTACCTTAATGCCTTCAAGCCCTAAAAACTCCAAAACTTGCAATGATATGATCGACACAGTGAAGGGACTCCTATGCACACCTTTCGGGCATGGTGGGAAGCCTCATCGGTGACGTTCACAACATCGCAGGTAGACCCCACCTGCTCTTCATTCAATGCGTTGAGTAGACTCTTTTGCATGCCCTTTCGGGTGTGGTGAGAAGAAGCTCGTCAGCAGTGTTCATGGTACAGGTGCAGCAGGTGAACTCGTAAGCGACATACTTGTCGTTGTGAGGTGAGACATGTTGTGATAGCTCAAACTCTTAACTATCGAGATATTGTTCGTTTTGGCCTAAGAGGCTCGCGGTTTTGTCATGTTTGTGTAACTTAAGATGAGATACTACCTTAATCACATAATTGCTCAGGGAAGAACAAGTTTAATTGCGTAGTTTCTTACAGAAATTCCAGCATTACACCAAAAAGCACCTTAACGTTTAAGAGTTTAGCTTCTTTTACTTAAGGGGTTTCACAATTGTGAGAAGAATTCCAACCATTACACCAAAAGGCGCATCAATGTTTAAGAGCTTGGGTTGTTATATACTGCAAAGGAAGATATCTATGAGTGATGAACCGAAGAATTATTGCGCACACAGTAATCCATCTGCGGGTGGCAATGAACAGTGTGCACAAACAAAAAATACTTCGACAACAATTCAATGTCAACCAAATGCAGTAATTTTCCATAAACAGAGGTGGTCAATGCACAATAACTGCAAACACCTACGAGCCACTATAAGACATTCTTCATATACACATCGATCTGCCTACAAGCTAAGATGGTGATTGTTGAATGTTCGTTGATAATCTACAGGCAGATTTAGCAAAGCTTGCAGTGCACGACAGTTCACTTGCAAGAAATAATGGGCGACCCATAGTGCAGTGCTACGACCCGCCTATAAGCAATGATTAATGAGTTGCGTTGAACATAATGTAGTAGATGTTAGCTCTTAAATACATATCGTGAATCACAAGCAATGTCAAACAAAGTCGTCTTGATGTGACAACTTGCTTACAAGAGACAACGAACGACCCATGACAAAATGTTACGATTCACCTGTAAGCAAAAGCAGGGAATTAGTAGTAAAAATTATAGGCCACTGGTAAACTAAAGCAGCAAATTTGCAATGTTATGTTGTCACACTAGACAAATTAGCTTGCTTGCAAGTAACAAATGGAAGATCCTAATGCGACGTGTAACTCATTTGCAAATAGAAGTACATTCCTGCAATTTAAGTACTAAAGAAAACAACAGCTTGTAGAAGACGAAATGAATTGAACTGCATTGCTAGTGCACAGTGAATGAAGTGCAACATTATATCACCGGATACCCAACATTCATACAAGCAGACAGAAAGTGACCCAACGCGCATGTATGCATATTATAATTACTCGCATAGCTGATCAACGTCAAATATGTTAAAGTGCCCTCATACATACATTGCAACTTGCCTGTAAATGTGTCATTTAGTATTACAAGATGCGTTGTGTCATAACAATATGTAGACTTTATATATCGACATGCAAAAACGTCATTCACGTCATACAAGCGCTACACTACCATACAAGTATATTGTACATGCAAGTAGATAATGTATGTATTACAGACATAGATCATGCAAGTATCTATGTACATCATGCAAGTATTGTACTATCATACAAATACATCATGCAAGTATTGAATAAGCATGCAAATGGCATGCAAAATAATATACCCTCATGGACCCCGATGAGTGTGTTGTATTTACACACGTGATGTTTGAGGATGCTGCGTGGATCAAGAAAGGAACTTAAGTTTGAACCCGATCCGTCTATGTGGGTAGATAGGAGTCGACATGGTTTGAACTATCAAACAAATATAAGGTCATGGCGCCGACCAAGATATTAATTTTACACATTCATATTATGCATTCAAGGTTTATAACAAAAAAATCCACTAATAAATGCACAAAGCCTGCAACAAACCTAATCATATGTCAGCAATTTCGACAGAGTTGACAAGGTTTATAACCAGGAAAATCTATTAATAAAAGAATACATCCGACAACAAACCCGGTCCTCTATCGGCAAGTAG